CTCTCCTTTCCTCTCTTAAATTGGTAAAAATATATATTATAAAAAGAGTATCCTTATAGTCTTTTCATTTTTTTCCTTAGAATTTAGTTCCATAAAAGTTCTTAAAAACAAAGAGAAAACAGAACGAATTGAAGTCACTTGAGAATAACCCCAGCCTGATGGGACGTGAGCCTCTGTCAGTACCAGGTGCTGCGAGGCACTTGTAACTGAGTCACAGAACACACTTTCCAGGGGGTGAGATCAACCCCAAGTGTGATCAGACCACAACGATGGGATCACACTAAGAACCAAGTCAGGAGTCAGACAAACACGAGGGCAGCCCCTGATGGGGAAGGCGGGGCCCAGAGCTACCTGGAGGCAAAGTGTGTCCACAGCCCTGTCATTTCCTTCACTGAGTCTGCTTTGACTTACTATTTTTTTTAATACATTTTTTATTGATTTCAGAGAAGAGAGAGGGAGAGAGACACAGAAACATCAACGATGAGAATCACTGATCGGCTGCCTCCTGCACGCCCCACACTGGGAATCGAGCCCGCAACCCAGGCATGTGCCCTTGACTGGAGTTGAACCCGGGACCCTTCAGTCTGCAGGCCGATGCTCTATCCACTGAGCCAAACTGGCTAGGGCCTGCTTTGACTTTTTAAAGACACTAGTTTTCATTCCATGTCCCATGAGACTTCGGAAGCCCCTGAAACATCTCTCTAGAACAGTGATGACGAACCTTTTGAGCTCGGCGTGCCAGCATTTTGAAAAACCCTAACTTAACTCTGGTGCCGTGTCACATATAGAAATTTTTTGATATTTGCAACCATAGTAAAACAAAGACTTATATTTCTGATATTTATTTTGTATATTTAAATGCCATTTAACAAAGAAAAATCAACCAAAAAAATGAGTTCGCGTGTCACCTCTGACACGCGTGTCATAGGTTCGCCATCACTGCTCTTGAAGGTCCTTTCAAGATGGGGGGACATTTTCGGTGTGCCTCGCTTCTATCATTTTTAGGTACTCAACATGCACTGTTTTCAGAGCCTGGATATCATCCAGAATGTTCCATGTCCTCCCCAGTGGTTTGACAAGCGGTGATGTGATTATTTGATATGCAAGTGGCCTGTGGCAGTGCAGTGGGGCCCAACCAACAGGATGGGGATCTGAATGTGTAGCAATGACTGGATTTGAGGGTGACCCGACTGTCTGGCTTGGAAGGAGAGCAGGCTGCATGAACTCTGCTGACATTCACAGGCAGGTTTTCATCTGAAGGCCCATCAGTAGGTCCTCAGTGAGCAGAAGCGTTCTCAGGCAGCGAGTCACTGTTTCCAATCCACGCTCGAGGATAAATAAGGCACTAGGTTAACGGAGGTGGCACAGAAATCTAAAATACGCTCTCAGATTGTGTTTGCTTTCCTTCCCCCACCCCCTGGTCGCTAGCTCCTGGGATGTTTGTGGGGGAAATGGAAGTCGGTAGTCTATTAAGTACAGACACAGTCTGAATGAGAGGAAACCCTAGCCAGTTTGGTTCAATGGAGAGAGCATCAGCCTGCGGACTGAAAGGTCCCAGGTTTGATTCGGGTCAAGGGTAGGTGCCTGGGTTGTGGGCTCGATCCCCAGTAGGGGGCGTGCAGGAGGCAGCTGATCAATGGTTCTCTCTCACCATTGATGTTTCTATCTTTCTCTCCCTCTCCCTTCCTCTCGGAAATCAATAAAAATTTAAAAAAAGTAAATAAATGAGGAAGACCATGTCTCGAGGGGTAGACAAAGCGTCTAAATGAAAAAGAAAGTTCTGTAGAATCAACTGTCCTCTTAGGGACACTGCACAGGCGCTGTTTTCCTGGCTGACACAGGCCAGCGTGGCCTCCTGGAGTCAGTGGCCTGGTCGCTGCTGCCTGGACCACCTTGAATGGGAGTCGGGGGGCTGCTGGGCCAAGGAGGACTCTGATACTGCTGGTGTGTGGCAGAAAATCCTGAGGCACCGTTCCTGGGGCTCCCTTTCTGTTGGGGCTCAGAGAGAAATGGCAATGATGGTCAATTCATAAAGGACATAATTCTCTTCTTCTATCCTATGCAAAGATAGTGACAGTCCGGCTGGTGTGGCTCAGTGGTTGAACACTGACCTATGGACCGGGAGGTCACGGTTCGATTCCTGGTCAGGGCACATGCGTGGGTTGCGGGCCCAGTACCAGGCGAGCAGGAGGTAGCCGATCAATGATTCTCTCTCTTCATTGATGTTTCTATCTCTCTCACCCTCTCCCTTCCTCTCTGAAATCAATAAAAATATATTTAAAACAAGACAAAAAACCAAAGATAGTGACAGTGAAGGGGGCCCCTTACCTCAAGCCGATGCTTGTGCCATGGCTGTGACAGATACTCAAGAGACAACTTGAGAACTAACAAGGACGCAGCCATCTCTCCTCCCTTCCTATGTACTTTTCATAATCAGCCCAGGGGGCTTGCTTTGTCCGGGATGGAGTGTGGTATGTTTGTCTCCATGCCTCCTCTTTGTTTCCTTTCTTAAAAAACAAACAAAAAAATCCATCACCAAAACCACCTCTACTTTACTGGGTGCCTGGCTGGGTGACGCCTCTCAAACAAGGGTTGGTATTGGTAAATGTGTAGAGTCTTATGGGCTGGTCATTTTTTATGAAGAATTTCAGTAAGAATACCTCAGTTATTCATAAAAACACGCTACCCTTCAAAAAAATACAGCTCTCATCCTAGCTGGTTTGGCTCAGTGGATAGAGCATTGGCCTGCGGACTGAAGGGTCCCAGGTTCGATTAGGTCAAGGGTGCATGCCCGGGTTGCAGGCTCAATACCCAGTAGGAGGTGTGCCCAAGGCAGCTGATCAATGATTCTCTCTCATCACTGGTGTTTCTATCTCTTCCTCTCCTTGCCTCTCTGAAATCAATAAAGATATATTAAAAAAAAGTACGGCTCCCTCCACTATCTGTTAAATATCCAGTGAAGCGATATTTGGAAACAACAAGAAAGGAAGTTATCTAACTGCTAGATGCCCAACAATAGCCATTCTACACCCAGTAAACCCAATGGATAAGATTTGTGGGTTTCCCCATCACTCTACGGCACATTAGAAATAAATCTCTAGAAAGAGAAAAAAGTAACTAAGATGGCATTCCTTTGCTCTGAAAACACATGTCCCTGCCAATCCTAATGGACAATCCTTCACACAATGTCAGATATTGATGTTACTGATGCCAAAGTGACCCAAAGTGACGCTGACAGTCCCCATGTCCGGCAGGGACTCTGCGTGGCCGTGTCCCTCCCCACTTGCAACCGGAAGCTGTGAATTGGGTTTCCTTTTCAGACTCTCTGGGAGAACCTGGCATGGATTCTCTCAGGATCCCACAAAGATGATTTCAAGAAACAGATTCTACATCGTAATGCTTAGCATTTATATAGGTTCTTTTGATTCCGAAACAAGTTATAAATATTTCCTACCGTAACAACATCTTCGCGAGGTAGGTGAGGAGTTACTGTCCCTACATGACCAACAGAAACCCGAGGCCAAGGAGAGAGCCAGGAGCCACAGTAAGACTGGGCGTCCCGAGGCCGCCTGCTCCGGGTGGTGGGGAGGCCAGGCCTCTCTCGAGTATAGCAACAGTCTCTGTTAATATAGGGTTATGCATCGGATAGATAGAAAACAACACACAGTGACAGTATAGAACAATAATCCAATATTCTTGTTTCTTAGTAAAATATGTTAAGCACAGTATTTAAATTGCATTTCTCTGAAAAGCATTTGGTATAGTAAACAGCAGAAGGTATATTAAATAGCAGAAGGTGTATTAAATAGCAGAAGGTATATTAAATAGCTCTATAAACGTTTGCTGGCATACTCTTAACAGCATAACGATTTTAAAGAAATTCAAATCCACTGGCCCATAGAGATCGTTCCTTTCTAATACCATAGAGTAAACAAAAATGTGAAAAATGACTTTAGTCTCCGTAATACAGACTTAATCGTTTGCTGGCTATTAGCAGGGGGCTACATAATTTTTCCGAACTTGAGAGAAAGGATACAGATTCCTGGCTATGGTTTTAAAATATCAACTTGCTAGAGAAAAATGCAGTTGAAAGGTGGAAATTAAAGATTGCTATTTCTGCCCAGCTGGCGTGGCTCAGTGGTTGAGCGTCGACCTAGGAAGCAGGAGGTCACGGTTCGATTCCCAGTCAGGGCACATGCCCGGGTTGCGGGCTCGATCCCCAGTGCGGGGCATGCAAGAGGCAGCCGATCGTTGATGTTTCTCTCTCTCCCTCTCCCTTCCTCTCTGAAATCAATAAAAATATATTTGAAAAAATAATTGCTATGTCCATTTTGTATCCATTCTGAGGAATTCATACACTTTCAGAACATATCCTACTTGGAACTAGTGTTGAGGTAAGTATAGCCACACTAGAGCATGAGAACATTTTACGAGAAGAGAAAATGACACAAAAGAAAATCTATGGTATTAGAAGAAAATAAACACGGAGGCAAGAAAAGTATTTCCCAAGAGTTACTGGAGGATGGCATGGGGAGTTCACGCCTAGATGACTGGACAGGTCTTGGAGATGGTTGACAAGGATGAAGACTTGGCTTGACCTCTTGTCCAAGGTCAAACCCTCCCTCTCCTCTAAGCCAGTGGTTGCAGAATAGCAAAGAGCCTGCCTCATGCGAAGCTTCCTAAGCACTGACCACGTGGGCCAGCAGAAATGTTCTAAAACTAGAAAGGAGGAGGCTTCAAAGCCTTCAAATTGGTATGCAAACGTGAAAACGAACTCCCAAGCCGGAATGACATTCTCCGTCAGAAGTGACAAGTACAAAAGTCTTAAAGGGAGTATAGAAGCCCCTAAAGATGTGGTTAGATAGGGCATGGCATTCAAAGGTTATTTTTTAATAAGTGTGCTTTTCCCCTAAAAAAGACATATCAAATGGTTCTTCTCTCCTCCCGTCCTTTAGATAGAAATATGAAACGCAAGTGGTCCGTCAGCGTGTTCGCTCATGCTATACGCTCGCGGGGTCCTTCCCACACGTGTCGTACGTGGCAGTTTTGTGGGAGGGAGGGCTGAGATTGGACGGGCTGGAGCAGTTCGGCTGTTTGGTTGGCTGTAAGCTCCTGGCGTAGGGTGAGTACCAGTCCCTCTCAAACACATCTTTCAGTTGCTTAATGATGCTCGTGTTATTCCTCGCGTCCGCTTGGTTGATGACGAGGCCCGTGCCCGCATTCTGGGTGAAGTCGTTCCCTACCCAGTCAAAGTTTCCTGCAAACGAACAAAGTAAAGAAATGGTGAAGATCCATTGGGGGATGTTCCCCATACAGTGCAATGCACAGCAGAGTCCATTCAACATATAATGGCCCGCGCTGCTTTGGCTCAGTGGATAGAGCGTCGGCCTGGGGAACTGAAGGGTCCCAGGTTTGATTCTGGTCAAGGGCACACGCCCGGGTGCGGGCTCCATCCCCAGTAGGGGATGTGCAGGAGGCAGCCGATCAATGATTCTCTCTCATCATTGATGTTTCCATCTCTCTCTCCCCTCTCCCTTCCTCTATGAAATCAATAATATATATATTTAAAATATATGTAATGAAATAAATACCCGGGGATGGCGACAGGGTGACTAAATTGTGTCGACAGCTCCAAGAAAAACAATTCCAAGAAGGCTTACATATGGCAGATTAATATTCGCGTGCGATTTTCGCGTTTTCTTCAGCTGTGCTCAGCTTGAAACTCACAACAAGGGATCTGCTGCTCGTTTTTGTAAATGTTATTTCTTATTGACATTCACAAGACACACTAAACACGGCAACATTTCAAATGTGCAGGAATCCGCTTAAAAACCCTGCGAACAGTTACCACCTCCTCAGAGCGACGACGTCTAATCGCACGGACAGACGAGGGATGCTGATTATAATGCTCCGCAGCTTCACATCCAAGGAAAAGCTGAGGCTAGAGGAGGAGGATCAGTTCCTGTCCGAAGAGGCAACACACTCCTCTCTTGGGCTCGACTCACTCCCCTGTTTCCGGTTCCGGCTCCTCAGCCCAGAAATGGGGCCGCTGCTGGACAGCGGGCTCCACTATGAGTGCGTGGTCGGCAAGTGTATTCGCTTGCGAAGGCAGCTGTAATGAAGCACCGCAGGCTGGTGGCCTGAACAACAGAACTGTACTGTCTCACAGTCTGGAGGCCCAAAGTCCAATGTCAAGGTGTGGGCCGGGCTGGTTCCCTCCGAGGGCTGTGCGGGAAGCTCAGGCCAGGCCTCTCGGCTGGGCTTGTGGATGCTGCCTCTTCACATGGTCTTCCCCCTGGGCACGCCTGTGCCCACATGTCCCCCCTTTTTATTTTTATTTTTTAAATATATTTTTATTGATTTCAGAGAAGAAGGGAGAGAGAGATAGAAACATCAATAATGAGAGAGAATCATGGATCGGTTGCCTCCTGCATGCCCCCCCTACTGAGAATGGAGCCTGCAACCTGGGCACGTGCCCTTGACTGGAATCGAACCCGGGACCCTTCAGTCCGCAGGCCGATGCTCTATCCATTGAGCCAAATCAGCTACGGCCAAATGTCCCCTTTTATAAGGACACCAGTCAACTGTGTTCCGGCCCTCCGGTCCAGTTTAAGAACCCATTGTGGCCCTCGAGTCAAAAAGTTTGCCCACCCCTGGTCTAGACCCTATCTCCAAATAAGATCATATTCTGAGGTACTGGGGTTAGGACTCAATCTATGAATTTTGGGAGGACACGATTCAGCCCATAACAGACAGTAAGGCTGGGATGGGTCTCATTATTGGTTAATCACATCTAAGTCACTCACATGTGGTCAACCTTTTATTTATTTTATTGATGTCAGAGAGAGGAAGGGAGAGGGAGGGAGAGACAGAAACATCAGTGATGAGAAAGAATCATTGTTAGGCTGCCTCCTGCATGCCCCACACTAGGGATTGAGCCCCCAACCCAGGCATGTGCCCTGACTTGGAATCAAACCTCGACCTCCTGGTTCATGGGTTGACGTTCAACCACTGAGCCAGGCCTGCTGGGCGATCCTAATCATATTTTTGTCCCCATCCCTTAGGGGTGTGGTTCAAAGCCAGGTCTGACTCCACGGCCCACATTTAACTTCCATTCCACGTCACCTCTGATCCTAAAGGCGTGCCTTGTGCTAACGGTGCATGGCACCCTGGACTTCAATGTCAGCCCCCAGGGTTGGCCCATTAGGGCACACCCTGGGATCTCTGCTCCAATCACCTGTGTAGACCACACCCTTTTAAGGAAACACACACATAGAAATGTGCTTTGGCCCTAGCTGGTTTGGCTCAGTGGATAGAGCATCGGTCTGCGAACTGAAGGGTCCTGGGTTTGATTCCGGTCAAAGGCACATGCCTGGGTTGCGGGCTCAATCTCCAGTAGGGGGCGTGCAGGAGGCAGCAATTCTCTCTCATCATTGATGTTTCTATCTCTCTCTCCCTCTCCCTTCCTCTCTGAAATCAATAAAAATGTATTTTTAAAAAATTTAAAAAAAGAAATGTGCTTAGGGGTAGCACAGGGAAGGGAAAAAATGAGGGGCCGGAAGGGATGAGATTTTCAAGTCTTCTTCTGTGAAATTCAGCCTTTTCCTTCTATACAATAGAATCTCTATTGATTCTCAGAAGCTTTAATGAGTTCTTCTCAGGAATATAGCTGTAGGCTATCCTCACAGGCCCACGCAGGCATCCCTATCCTAGTGTGATCACGGGTTTCTTCTCATCCTAATGGCTTGGCTGAACTTCACAATCGTAAGCTTCAGTCTTTGTCTCAGTTGGGTTGGTTTCACCCAGCTCTTTAGAGACGACCAATCAGCTTCCAGATGCAGGTGTAGGCCCCAGAGGCCAGAACTGTGGTGCCAGCCGCAGGATCACCATGGAGATGGTACAAACGATCTCACTGGGAAGGTGTATGGGCCTCGTGAGCCTTTCCTGTGTCTTCAATCACCCGCCACTCCTGGCCAGTCCTCTCATCATCCAAACCATCCTCCAGACGAGTTTGCCAAGCTTGACTCAAATATACTCTGGAGACTTAACAATCAGAGAGATGATGCTGTTTGGAGATTCTTCTGTAAGTCTTGTGAAAATTAACAGAGCTGTAATTCTGTGCAGGGTCTAGTGTGGATTTTTATTAATTCAGAATTCTCAGTGGGTGTCTGGGTGATGACCTAAGAGCTTTCCCAAACATGCTGATACTTATTTAAATTATCAATGAATTTTTCTCTTGAAGCCCTTTAAATATTTTTGTACTAGAATTATGCTTTGCTCTAGGGAATTAATGCCTTGCTAAAATGCTATGGGTAAAATAAACTCAATTAAAAATGCATTACAATAACAGAGCCCAGAAATAGACCCACACACATAAAGTCAACTGATCTTGACAAAGGAGCAAAGACAATACAATGGAGCAAAGATAGTCTTTTCAACAAATGGTGCTGGGACAACAGGGCAGGTAGATGCAAAAATGAAACTAGCCCAGCCAGTGTGGCTCAGTGGTTGAGCATCGACCAATCAACCGAGAGGTCATAGGTTTGATTCCCGGTCAGGGCACATGCCCCAGTTGTGGGCTCAATCCCCACTGGGGGGCGTGTAGGAGGCAGCCGATCGATGTCTCTCTGTCATTGATGTTCTATCTCTCTATCCCTCTCCCTTCTTCTCTCTCTCAAAAACCAATAAAAAAATATTAAAAAAAAGAATCTAGACACAGACCTTACACCCTTTACAAAAATTAACTCAAAGTGGATCATCGATCAAAATGTAAAATGCAAAACTCTAAGACTCCAAGGAGAAAAATCTAGATGACTTGGTGTTGGGTGAAGATTTTAGTTACAACATTAAAGGCGCGATCCATGAAAGAAATAATTGATGAACTGAACTTAATTAAAATTAATGAATTGGCTCTGTGCAAGACACCATCAAGAAGAGAAGATGATAAGCCACACGTTGCAAGTAAATACCTGCAAATAATACACGTCTGAGAACGGATCGTTGTCCAAAATGACAAGTAACTCTTCAAACGGAACAATAAGGAAATGAAAAACCCAGTGAAACAATGGGCCAAAGACCTTAACAGACACCTCACCCAAGAAGATAAACAGATGTCAAACAAGTCTATGAAGACATGCTCCATATCACACGTCACCAGGGAAATGCAAATTAAAACAACGAGATGACATGACACACCTCTTAGAAGGGCCAAAATCCAGACACTGACATCACCAAACGCAGGAGAGGTTGTGGAGCAACAGAAATTCTCATTCATTGCTGGTGGGAAGGCAAAAACGGTGCAGCCACTTTGGAAGACAGCCTGGGAGTGTCTTTACAAAGCTAAACACACTCTTATACCGTATGATTCAGCAATCATGCTCCTTGGTATGAAACCTGAACATGGGTGTTTATTGCAGGTTGGTCATCATTCAGCACTAAAAAGAAATGAGCTCTCAAGCCATTAAACAATGTGAAGGCAACTTAAGTCCACATTACTGAGCGAAAGCAGCCAATCTGAAAATATCGTATAGTTGACTATGACTATATGATATTTTGGAAAAGACAAAACTATGGAGATGCTAAAAATATCTGTGGTTGCCAGGAGTTGGAGGGGGGGTGGAGAGGGAGGGATGAATAGGTGGAGTAGAGAGGATTGTTAGTGAAAATACTCTGTGTGATACTATAATGATGGATGACATCATATACATCACATAATGACGTCATTAATACATTTGTCCAAACCCACAGGATGTACTAAACCAAAGTGAACCCTAATGTAATCTATGGGCTTTGGGTGATTATGATGTCAATGTTGGTTTATCAACGGTAACACATGCACCACTCTCATGGGGGATGCTGGCGGAGGCTGTGTGTGTGGGGACAGGGGGTATATAGGGAGTCTCTGTGCTTTATGCTCAGTTGAGTTGGAACATAAAAATTCTCTGAAAAAACCCCCAGTCTAGCCCTGACCTGTTTGGCTCAGTGGATAGAGCGTCGGCCTGTGGACTGAAGGGTCCCGGGTTCGATTGAGGTCAAGGGCATGTACCTTGGTTTTGGGCACATCCCCAGTGGGGGACATGCAGGAGGCAGCTGATTGATGTTTCTCTCTCATCGATGTTTCTAACTCTCTATCCTTCTCCCTTCCTCTCTGTAAAAATCAATAAAATATATTAAAAAAAACCCCAGTCTATTTTAAAATATGCATTATGAGGGAAGAAGGGAGACAGCCAGGAATGACTATTTACTAAGGGCCTACACAGATAAGAGCCTTCCATCTATTATCTCATTTACTCCTCATTCCACCACCACAGGGCAGGAGGGGATGCAGTTATCTCATTTTACAAATGAGAAAGCAACAAAGAGATGATACCTGGCTTCCCACCCTGTTTCGACTGGGGTCAGTGTTTAAATTCAAAACTGGTTTCTCTGACTCCAAAACCCTTATTTGATTCATTAAAAGAACACCTGGGTAGAGGCATGCAACACCTTACTTTTAGGAAATCCTGCAGGTAAAATGTCCAGATTTGAGTCCCCAAATCCCACGGTGCCTGAACCTGGCCCATCCCCGTGTTTCCCAATATTTGAGTCAAACGTTCTCATTTTTGATGAAGCGATTTTGAGTTTGTTAAACGATTTTGAGTTTGTTTTCGTTAGTTGCTTAAAAAGAAGCAGATTTGCCCACCGGTGTGGCTCAGTGGTTGAGCGTTGACCTATGAACCAGGTCAACAGTTTGATTCCCAGTCAGGGCACATGCCCAGGTTCTGCGCTTGATCCCCAGTAGAGGGCGTGCAAGAGGCAGCCAATCAATGATACTCTCATCCTTGATGTTTCTCTCCCTTTCCCTTCCTCTCTTTCTGAAGTCAATAATAGTATATTAAAAAAAGAAAGAGAAGCAGATTTGATTCTATTTTCCGTAAGTTGATGAATATGAGAAAATCCAAATGACCGCGTCTTGGGACACTGAGCTGAAATAATATCATATTCGAACCCAAGTGATATACATTTAAATAAATGCCAATGCTCTGTTCTAATGTGACACAGCTAGTCAAAGTGGAAAACAGCAGAACAGCTTCCCACTGAGCCAGGAGGCAGTCGCCGTCCAGTGGCTGATGACCGTGTCTTCTTTTTATTTTTCATCTCTTTACAATTCCATAACACATCATCTGCACATTGTGCTGTGTGTTCACCACCCCAATTCAAGTCTCCCTCCATCACCATTTATCCCTTTACCCTCTTCTACCTCCCCCATCCCTCTGGTAATCACCATATTGTCTGTGTGTATAAGTTTTGTGTGTGTGTGTATTGTGTGTGTGCGTGTGTGCGTGCGTGCGTGTGTGTGTGTGTGTGTGTGTGTGTGTGTATTACAGTCTCTTCTGAAGAGCTGCAGAGGGGGAGGGGCCTGGGTACCTTGGATTCCATCCCCAGCTCCTTTCCCCTGACATCACATGTTTAAGTTGTTTCACATCTTATGGCCCAGGTCTCCTCATTTCTAAACAGCAGGTAATAAAAACCACCCTCGCTCTGGACCATGCAGCTGAGAGAATAAAATAAGAGCAAGTGCTTTACAAAGGGAGAAGGGCGTATTTTTAACTCACTCACTGAATCTGGAAAACAAACAGTTTCCGTATTGCTTCATTCTATCCACGTGCCTTTCCTCTCTGCTTTAACACCTGCACAGCGTAAGAACCACCACATCCGCACAACGTAACGACCGCGCTGCTGTTCCGAGATGTGTGGACGCTGTTTCCCTTCTGCCGGTGATGGCTCCAGCGGAAGGGGTTGCCCTGGCCGGATACACATGGTGGGAAAGTAGAACAGACTTGATCCGCTAGTGATTAATTCCATCAGGACGTGGGATTGCTGCATCTGGAACTCCACGGCCTTAATAAACAGAGCTAGCAAGACTCGGGATGATCCACGGGCCAGATGATTTGCATATCGTCTCCCATTTACCCTTCATCCAATGCAGGAGAAGCTCTTGTTGGGCCCATTTTACAGATGGGAAAACTGAGAGCTTAAATACATTGTCTAAGGTTAGATGCTTTAACAACGGCAGGGGTGGGACTGTTGCCCCGGAGGGGTGCTGTCACTGAACTCCCATGATGCCATCTCCATCACTCACGACAGGCTGGCTGTGGTCCTGTGTGTAGGGAAGGGACATGGTGCCAGGACTCACCTGTGACGAGCCAGTCACCACCTCAGCTATAAAATGAGGCAAAGGGACCAAGAACTCCTGCAAATCATTTATGGAAAGAAAACATCTCATAGGGTCTCTTAGCAGGTGAGTCAGCCATAGAGATGCGAGGCTGGCAAGCTCTTTACCCTCATTGTTCTGTTTCCTGACCTTCAGCCTCCCCGCCCCCCACCGCCTGCCCCCCAGGCTCTGCTTCTTCGCCCGCCGTGGGGTAGAGCACAGCTGGGCCACCACTGATCCTAGGCTCCCCCAGGAGCCTCGCACGCAGGGCGGGCACCTACCGATGTAAGCTGCTCCGTCTGTCACCATGTACTTGTTGCGGTTTAATTTAGGAAAGGTGAGATTCATTTCCTCTTTGGTTGCACAGGCATTCTCTCTTTCCAGGTCAAAAAACTTCTGTAAGACACAGATGAATAAATGAATAGAGCAGGTGAACAGAGAACACTTTTGTTCTTTAAAAAAAAATCTATTTTTATTGATTTCAGCGAGGAAGGGGAGAGGGAGAGAGAGAGAAACATCAATGATGAGAGAGAATCATGGGTCGGCTGCCTCCTGCACGCCCCCTACTGGGGATTGAGGCCACAACCCGGGCACGCACCTTAGACCGGAATTGAACCCGGGATCCTTCAGTCCGAAGGCTGGCATTCTATCCACTGAGTCAAACTGGCTAGGGCAGTGGTCAGCAAACTGCGGCTCGCGAGCCACATGTGGCTCTTTGGCTCCCTTGAGTGTGGCTCTTCCACAAAATACCACGTGCGGGTGCGCATGTACAGTGCGATTGAAACTTCATGGCCTATGCGCAGAAGTCGGTATTTTGTGAAAGAGCCACACGCAAGGGGCCAAAGAGCCGCATGTGGCTCTCGAGCTGCAGTTTGCTGACCACTGGCCTAGACAACATGTTTGGTCTCGGTCAAGAGTACGCAAGGGTTTATGATCCCAATATCAACAACAGACCTTACATTGAGTTATTAAAAGCACAGTCTTAAAAAAAAAAAAATAAAAAGCACAGTCTTGTCACCTCCTATAGATGAAGCTATTTTTGTTCTCAAATAGGCATCGAGAGAGAAAATTAGCAGGCTCAACTGTAATGAACACTTTTAAGCTATGGAATGAACACAAAGGTCTTTCTTTCAATAGCGTGAGGGCCAGAAGGTGGCTGAGTTCTCACTGTCTGACTCTGCAGGGTGCACTGGCAGTTGAAGTCGGCCCCAGGGTGCTTCTGTCAAAGACACTCACTGAGCCCAGGAACTCAATGAATATTCTTCCAGGCTGCATACATCAGTGGGCCCAGGGCCATGACTAGCTGACCAAACTGGGGCTTTGCAAAGGTCAAAAGAGATTTCTGCCGAAGGAACCAATGCTTTGTATGTACAAGCCTCTGTCTAAGGCTCTTTTAATAGGCAAATAAGTGAAAAAAAAATCACAACTTCAAGTCAGAAATCCTGAATTTCAATGATGTGACCCTCAAAACCGCCTTCCAGCTCACCAGGTGCCAGGGCAGGGGAGGCTCTGACAGCAGGAGGCGGTGGGCTTGTGCCTCAGGGATCTCTCTTTTTTTTTTTTTAAATATATTTTATTGATTTTTTACAGAGAGGAAGGGAGAGAGATAGAGAGTTAGAAACATCGATGAGAGAGCCAGCTGCCTCCTGCACATCTCCCACTGGGGATGTGCCCGCAACCCAGGTACATGCCCTTGACCAGAATCGAACCTGGGACCTTTCAGTCCGCAGGCTGACGCTCTATCCACTGAGCCAAACCGGTTTCGGCCCTCAGGGATCTCTTGACACTGTAAGTGCTTGGATGAGGCTTAAACTGTGACTGTTGCCTGGCTGGTGTGGCTCAGTGGTTGGGCATCGACCTATGAACCAGGAGGTCACAGTTCAATTCCCGGTCAGGGCACATGCCTGGAATTGGGGGCTCAATCTCAGTAGCGGGCAAGCAGGAGGCAGCCAATCAATGATTCTCTCTCAAATAGATGTTTCTATTTCTCTAAAATCAATAAAAACGTATTAAAAAACAAACAAACCACACCAAACCACCTTGGGCCCCGATTCGAAGGAGCAGGAGTACCAGGACTTCACACCAGCTGCCCAGCACGATGTCCAATTGCCTCAGACCAGTGACCACTGTGGGTCTCCCCACCTTCCCTTTTGGAGTGGGAGTTCTTTTTCTTATTTTTAAAAATATATATTTTCTTGATTTTTTACAGAGAGGAAGGGAGAGGGATAGAGAGTTAGAAACATCGATGAGAGAGAAAGATCGATCAGCTGCCTCCTGCACTCCCCCTACTGGAGATGTGCCCGCAACCAAGGTACATGCCCTTGACCAGAATCGAACCTGGGACCCTTCAGTCCGCAGGCCGACGCTCTATCCAATGAGCCAAACCAGTCAGGGCGAGTGGGAGTTCTTATTGTCCTTGTCCCGTGAGAAGGGGTAACGTTAACCTGGGTGTGGGTTTTGGGGAGTTGCTGTTGCTTTTTTAAAGTATATATATCTATTTTTTTTAAATATATTTTATTGATTTTTTTACAGAGAGGAAGGGAGAGAGATAGAGAGTTAGAAACATCGATCAGCTGCCTCCTGCACATCTCCCACTGGGGATGCGCTCGCAACCCAGGTACATGCCCCTGACCGGAATCGAACCTGGGACCCTTGAGTCCGCAGGCTGACGCTCCATCCACTGAGCCAAACCGGTTTCGGCTTAAAGTATATTTTTATTGATTTCAGAGAGGAAGGGAGAGGGAGAGAGAGAGAGAGAAACATCAATGATGCGAGAGAATCATTCATTGATCGGCTGCCTCCTGCAGGCCCCCTACTGGGGATGGAGCCTGCAACACAGGCATGTGCCCTTGACTGGAATCGAACCTGGGGCCCTTCAGTCCGCAGGCCGACGCTCTATCCACTGAGCCAAACCAGCTAGGGCTGCTGTAGTTTTTAGTTTCTCTGTCACTGAGCGATGAGGCTGGCTGTTGAGAAGGGCACATCCCTGGGAGGCCTAAACTGGGAGCTGTGCAGGGACTGAGGGGCTGAGGGGCTCTATGTCGGAAGAGAGGAAAAGAGGTAATGGGTGTCCCGGGTTTCAGACTGTGATGATTCACAACGCTGTTCCTTCGTCTCCTTGGCGACACAGCTGCCTCCCTGACCACACACACAGGCCACCTTGTGCTCAGGTGTGGCTGGGTGAGTGGTCTCTGGGCAGCAGAATGAAGTCTAAAGGCACGTTCACCTCCTAATCCACAAATGCCTCCCATGTAGTCCTCCAATCTCTCTCTCCTTGTGTTTTCTGTCTTTTTAAATGTATTTTTATTGATTTCAGAGAGGAAGGGAGAGGGAGAGAGAGAGAGAAACATCAATGATGAGAGAGAATCCTTGCTCGGCTGCCTCCTCCATGCCCCCGATTGGGATTGAGCCCACAACCAGGGCATGTGCCCTGACAGGGAATCGAACCATGACCTCCTGGTCATAGGTCGATGCTCAACCACTGAGCCACACCAGTGGGGCCCTGCCCTACCTTTTAAAGTGTTTTTCTCTCTCTCGGATTGGTATTCCTGTTCTTACAGGGAGTTTGTGGGAATGTGTGTGCTTACAGCTCTCACGGATGGATATGCAAAGGGAAGAAACTTTTTCTTTAAGAGCGAAGTCAACAGAATACTTACAACTTTCAAGCTGCAGTTGGCTATTTCAGTGCAGATAGCTTTAAGAGACGAAATAAAGTTAAACGTCAGGGGATCCGTTTCCTTCCAGAAGCTGATCAGGAGTCGAACTTTAACGCTTCGCAAAACTAACGCTTCTCTTATTTTCCCGTCCAAGTCTGGCCAGTACGTCCTGTGGAAATAATATCGATGTGGATGAAAATCAAGAAAGCAGGTTAGTTTTGGGAAATAGATTTACTAGGCTTCCGAGAACACGGATGTTAATGCGACCATTACTTTGTTCTGTGATATATGTGTGACTTTGTAGGATGCGTTGAAAAATAAAATGCAAGCCTCCTGGGTTAGGGCACCGAGAGAGGATGCTTTATGGGGACCTGCCCCTGCCTACAACCAGGTCTCCCAGCACCAGGCCTCAGGCTGTGAGGGCAGAGGGCATAGATCCTCGGACACATGACACCCTCACTGCACCTCCAACTCTACCTATGCTCCAAGAGTCAACTTTTTTTATTTTTAATATATTTTTATTTTTATTTATTTTTTAAATATATTTTTATTGATTTTTCACAGAGAGGAAGGGAATGGGATAGAGTTAGAAACATCGATGAGAGAGAAACATTGATCAGCTGCCTCCTGCACGCCCCTTACTAGGGGTATGCCTGCAACCAAGGTACATGCCCTTGACCGGAATCGAACCTGGGACCTTTCAGTCTGCAGGCCGACGCTCTATCCACTGAGCCAAACCGGTTAGGGCAGTGGCCGGCAAACTGAGGCTCGCGAGCCACATGCAGCTCTTTGGCCCCTTGAGTGTGGCTCTTCCACAAAAGAGAAGAAGGGAGAGGGAGAGAGAGAAATATCAATGATGAGGGAGAATCATTGCTTGGCTGCCTCCTGCACGCCTCCTACTAGGGATGGAGCCTGTAACCCAGGCATGTGCCCCAGACCAGGAATTGAACTGTGACATGACCTTCTGGTTCACAGATCGACGATCAACCACAGAGCCATGCCGGCCGGCCGGGCTCGCCCAGCAGATCTGAATGATGAGTGACCTAACATGACCTGAGAGCATCCCAGTGTGCAGGCCGGCTTCCCCAGTGGTCCCCAGCTCGGTGCCTGGTCCCGGAGACCAGGTTCTCAGTCAAGGTCATGCACTCACTGACCTTTTGGTGCTTGTGCTGGAGATGGGCAGGTAGTCCATGACGGCGATGTACACGTACTGCTTGGCGTCGTCTATCACGCTGTAGATGGCGTCGATGTCAAAGCTTCTGTTTTTAGGGCAAAAGAGTTTGGGGGAATTCTGTGAAGACACAAAAACCAAACTATTAGAGCATTAACCTTTTTTTTTAAAAGATATTTTTATTGATTTTAGAGAGGAAGGGAAAGGGAGAGAGAGACAGATACATCAATGATGAGAGAGAATCATTGATTGGCTGCCTCCTGCACGTCCCCCCACTAGGGATCAAGCCCACAATCCGGGAATGTGCCCTCGGCCAGAATCGAACCCGGGACCCTTCAGTCTGCAGGCCGACGTTGTATCCACTGAGCCAAACCAGCTAGGGCTAGAGCAGCCGTGGGCAAACTACGGCCCGCGGGCCGGATCCGGCCCATTTGAAATGAATAAAACTAAAAAAAAAAAAAAAAAGACCGTACCCTTTTATGTAATGATGTTTACTTTGAATTTATATTAGTTCACACAAACACTCCATCCATGCTTTTGTTCCAGCCCTCCGGTCCAGTTTAAGAACCCATTGTGGCCCTCGAGTCAAAAAGTTTGCCCACCCCTGGGCTAGAGCATCAACTTTTGTCAACTGGGGATTTCTCTCTTTTTTGCAAACCTACTTTTCAGTTCTTTAGGAGATAAGACAAATACATTTTCCATCCTATCAAAGTTGAGGCCTGTAGACATCCAAGTGTGGCGGGATTGGTCTCAAGTCTGTCCTTTAAGTCTGTTTTGGGAGGGAACTTAAAAATATATGTATTTTTATTGATTTCAGAGAGGAAGGGAGTGGGAGAAAAAGAAAATCACTGACTGCCTGTTTCCTGCACATCCCACACTGCGGATCGAGCCACAACCCAGGCATGTGCCCTGACCGGGAATCTAACCGTGACCTCCTGGTTCATAGGTTGGTGCTCAACCACTGAGCCACGCTGGCCGGGCTGGGAGGGAATTCTTGCTTTCAATACACATGAATGCTCCAGCTCTAAACTTATGTGACCCTGGTGTACCTCCCTGTCACACATAGCTGTTCAATTCCTCAGGCTTTGCCATGTAACACCACCTACCGGTAACAAGCAATTTATCCCAGAAGCCATTTCATCTGAACGGTGACATGGCTATAGACACGTTTAAGACCCTCTAAAAAGCTCGGTTTCCCCCTCTAATCATTCATCAATCAGGAAGGAGTACTGGTTGTTGAGAAAGGGTCATCAATAATTCTAGTGGAGACACAGAGAGAGTAATTAAGATGCCCAAGTTCATCAGGAGAGACAGGGGAAAAAAGATATTCTAAGAGACTTAAGCAAAATGAGAGAGAGGCAACTTATACTTGAGGCATTTTTCTCTTGTTGTTCAAAGTGGTTTCCATCTTAAAAGTGTATGGTGTTTTGCCCTGGCCAGGTGGCTCGGTGGTTTGGAGCGTCGTTCTATACACCAAAAGGCTGCAGGTTCGATTCCTGGTCAGGGCACATACCCAGGTTGTGGGTTCAATCCTAAGTTGGGACAATATATGGTAGGCAACCAATCGATGTTTCCTCTCTCTTTTTCTCTAAAATAATCAATTAAAAACATTCTCTCTCTCTCTCCCCCCCTCCCTACTTCTCTCTCTCAAATCAACAAAAACGTATTTTTGAAAAAACAGGCTTCCTAGCTGATTCCTAAGTACTTTAGAGTTTGAGGACAGGCTGAAGGCCCAGATACTTACATTGCCTGTCGCCAGTAACAGTGGGGACAGTGGGATGGCGAGGGGTGGGGGGTGGCAGGGGAGTTGGGTGAAGGTGTGTGGGTGGTGGCCTTGCCCTCCATCCTCGATCAAGTACAACAGCTTTGCGTTTGTCTGTTTCACACCCTGGGGCTCCCTGAGATTTGTTTCATCAGAGGGTTCTATTGCTACAAACAAGTCTGAACATCACTGATGCAGGGCATCAAAGACAGGGTCTGGTATAGAAGACCTGGGTGCTCTTTACACTAATTTTTGGTATGAATCCTGAAATTACACAGCAATATAAAGGTTGACTTTTAAAAACTATATATTTTTATTGATTTCAGAGAGGAAGAGAGAGGGAAGGAGAGATAGAAACTTCAATGATGACAGAGAATCATTGATCGGCTGCCTCCTGCACGCCCCTTATTGGGGATGGAGCCCACAACCCCGGCATGTGCCCTTGACCGGAATCGAGCTGTGACCTCCTGGTTCATGGGATGATGTTCAACCACTGAGCCATGCCAGCTGGGCTGTTATGGCAGCTTCCTATGAACTTCTGCTGAAGTCTCAAATCTGGACACGAAGAGCCTTCATGACAAGCCTCCACGTGAAGGGAGGGCCCGTGGAAGGAACAGTGACCTTCCTGGGACCTCCTCGCCGTTGCTCAGCCTGCGGAACGCAGTGTCCAGACCTTCGAGGCCAGTTGCTCCCACTGGGGAGCCCACTTAGGAGTAAAAAATGGAGGCACCTGGCCATTGGAATTCCAGGAGATTTATCACTTCCAATGCTTTTTTACAAATTTGATGTTTAAAATACCAACTAGATGCCAGCTTTGAGGATTATAGTGCCTCTGAGTAGCTTTCTCTCAACCTGAGAATGACTGAGGCCCGTTTCTAATTATTCATGTTTGGTACAGGCTGGTGTTGACTGAAGATGGAGAAAAAGAAGCTGGTTTTCGTTTGGCAGGTTTTTCAGCCAGAGGAAAAGAATTTAGGGCAGGTGTGTGAGCAAGTTTTCTTAAAATGCTGATAGTGGGAAAAATAACATGGATTTGGGGATTCTGAAGGGTTTCCATGTCTAGACTTTCAAAGGAACAAAAAGCTACATTGATTGGCTGATAGATTAGCCAAGTCACTCTTTAATGTTTGTTTTTTTTAATTGATTTTTAGAGCGAGAGGAAGGGAGAGGGAGAGATAGAAACATAAATGAGAGAGAAATATCGAAACATCAATCGGCTGCCTCCTGACCGGGAATTGAACCAGTGGCCTCTTGGTCCATGGATCAACTCTCAACCACTAAGCCACATCAGCTGGGCATGCCAAATCACTCTGACAGTGATCAGCCCTTCTCCCGGTGTGTCACATGCCAGCCACACGCCAGCCACACGCCAGCCACACACCAGCCACACACCAGCCACATGCCAACTTAGAATCCTGATGGACTGCCCTGACTTCAATCACACAGTTGAGAGTTGATTGACTGGTCCAACTGTTTGAATAAAATAATCTTGAAAAAGCTGGAAATTTACCAGCCAATGATTCATTGGTAGAGAATTATTCTTAGGAAAATGCTGATTGTCTTTTTGACAAAATGGGTGTAGTGCAGGGGATCGGCCCATGGAACTGACTGAGGCTTAGGACTTCAAACTCCTGGAGTACCCTGCCAAGAAGCTGTTCTAAGGGTAATGACTTCAGCCCGGCTAGCGTGGCTCAGTGGTTGGGCATTGACCTATGAGCCAGGAGGTCATGGTTTGATTCCCAGTCAGGGCAACATGCCTGGGTTGTGGGCTGGATCCCCAGTGTGGGGCATGCAGGAGGCAGCTGATCAATGACTCTCTCCCGTCATTGATGTTTCTATCTCTCCCTCTCCCTTCCTCTCGGAAATAAACACACACACACACACACACACACACACACACACACACACACAAAGGGTAATGACTTTATTTAAAACTCAAGTTATATCAATGGTTCCACTCTGTCTGTCCCTTGCCCTTGGACATGATGGGAGACACAGTCGAGGAGATGCCGCCATCCCCCTGCGTAGGGAGAAAGAACCACAGCAGCGGCTCTAATTCGTTGTATCTGTAGCACTTACTGTGCACCAGGTACTGTTCTAAATGCTCTACAACCTGCATCCATTTAAACCTCCCAACGACCCATTTCACAGGGAAGGAAACTGAGGTACAAAGAGATCAAGGGGCTTGCCCAAATGCACAGCCAGAGAGCAGGGAAGCTGGGATTACGACACAGACCAGTTTAATATTTCAATTCCAGGAAGAATTATTCACAACGTGGAGTACCCATAAGCCACAGCGCCCCGTGAGCGAGGGCCAAGTCCTGCTGTGTGTCCTTTCTCTGCCTCCCTGGAATTTCTATTTATAATAGTGGACTGGGTTTCCAAGCACAATGATAGTGGAGGCATCAGCAGCGTTCTCTCAATAAGTGATGAATACCAATTAGCCCAATCACAGCTCAATTGATCATTTACAAATGTTCGGCTTGCCGTTTCCAGGATTTTATAAAAATGTGAACAAGCGTGTCTTTAATGTTCTTGACGGAGACAAAAGAACCTGCAACTGTGAGCAACTAAACCTGCATCCAGTTAGTCACTGATTTATATTCCGAGTTGCTGCAGGGAATTTAATCACTAGGAGCTCTAATGTGATTTCGCTTCTGCCCTCAAGGTGAGACTTCTGTTCCTGGGAATAGAAGTAAAGAATTGAGTCTCGGCTCAAAGGCTGCCCACAGCTCAGAAAGGTCCTCCCTGGCCCTGCCCTCCCACAGTCGGGGGTCCAGACCCCGTAGCTTCTTGCTGTCTGAGTTCCTTTGGGAAGGATGCTGGGCAGAGGGAAAGCGACTAATTGAAGAGAGAGGAGAATGTGAGGACCCTGGAGAACGGCTAGTTCAGCCTCATTTCCAAAGGAAGGAAACGGAGGACCCCAAGGGGGAAGTGACGGGCAAGGTCACAGAATAACGCCCTTGATTCCGGGGCCTGGTCTGTTCGCCCAATCCAGCGGAGCCTTACTGATGAGATGAATCCACCCAGGGATTCATCCGTAGGATGGATGAGGGGTGTTGTTTTTCTCCTTCCTTCACGTGCCACTTAACTCGATGGGGACACGTTCTGAGAAATGCTTTGTGAGGTGGTTTTCTTGTTTAGTGAACATCATAGAGTGCATAGCCTAGGAGGTCCAGCCTACAGCACACCTAGGCTGTAGGTACAGCCTATTGCTCCGGCTACAAGCCTGCACAGCATGTGACTGTACAGAACAGCATGAGACTAAACCATGTGTTTGCAGCGATGCCCGTGTAAATGAGCCTAACATGCTGCCAGTCATACAAAAGTACAGCACACACAGCTATGTGCGGTACTT